AAACCAGGGATGGGAAAGCAACAATAAGGGCCTTCTGAGTCTCAGGAATGTTGCTGAGGGCGCACAATCTTGACCGATTGTGAAACGTGGCCAGTCAAGGGGTGGGACTCTTCCACTCTAAGCACAGCCACATGCCCAGTCTTCAGTTTGATATCTCAGCACTTTCTGAGTCCGTCAAGAGCCAAGTTAGGCATGTGGTTTGTGTTGAACTAGGAACATAAGCCTCTGCTGGTCTCCTCGCTGCTTTTCTTAGAAACGGCACCCTTCCCACACAAGTGAAAACAAAATGATCAAACCTACACATTTAGCATGGATTAAAGAATTCTAACGCAACCAAAAAGTGGGTGTGAGTCGGGGAGACGAAGCTGATGTGGAGAAGAAGTGGTACTGCCCTTGCCATCGGTCAGAGTCCCAGGAGACCTCCAGGCACTGGTGAGCAACCACAGGAGCAAGGCAACCTTCCCCAGAGGTCACTTGAATGGTTAAAAGCCCAGAGGAACTGCCATCGGAACTCACGCTGAAAACTTCATGAGGAAACTGGGAAGAGTTCTTATCTGTGACGAGATTGCATATGTGTGTTTTGCATGTGTGTATATGTCATGCATCTATAAACATAAGCATGTGGGTGCATGTACACAAATACCTGCATAGTTTTCTAATCTTTCCTCTGAACTCTCAAATTGTTAAGAGCATAGACAATGGAAAAGTATGTTTCTCTTTGACATTTGTTATAAGGCAGTGGTTCTCAAAACCAATTGTGTACCAGACTTCCCTAGGAAGCATTTAAAAAAATACAGATGCTGTGCCCCCATCCCAGATGTACTGAATCACAATGTCTCCCCTGGACATCTGGGAACCAACAGGGTCTGGTATGTGGGACAAGAGCTGTACCATCCAGGACAGCATGCCTGTTTGTGGCTCTGAGGCTTTGCCCAAAAGAAAGCCTGATGTTTAAGATAAGGAGTTCAAAATACATGTTTGGGGACCCTTCTGAATCTCACTGCCCTTCCATTCAGCTTGTAGCAGGAAGCAGCGCCCTTGGGGATGAAGGCTGAGCCCCAGGTTCCAGTGAAAACCAATCCTCCCTGACGTCCTCTGGCAGGTTCCTGGCAGAGCTTGAGCTTTCTACAGAGGAGGGTAGGCTTCCCCTGCCCTGAGGGGTCTCTCCCCTTTCACCCAAGTAAAACTAATGAAACTAACATTCATGGAGCACACACTATGCCCCAGGCCTTGAGCCAAGTGCCTTTACTGAACTGTCACAAGACCATAGGAGGAGCTGTTGTGATCTCCATCTGGCAGATGAGAGAACTGAGGCTTGTCCACAGCTACAAAATGGTAAGGGACGGTCAGAAAGAAGCCGAGGCCACCGGGCTCGGATGCCCAAGTGTTGGACCACTGAACACTAGGCCTTCCAGCCAACTCTGCCACGTGACCCACACAATAAAAGGGGGATGAGTATATAAAGATAGAATGACTTTTAGTCTTCACATGAATTTCATGACCCAATAGGAGGGTGCTCTTTGGCATAATGGGCTGCTGTGGCAGAGAAAGAGGAAGCGAGAGGAAATATAGGCCAAATATGTGGAAATGTGTATGTTGCCTCTTTGTTCTCATGATACCAATTCATTTCCAGTGGGGGATTGGAATAACTGCTTAATGTGGGTGATTAAGGCACCAAGTGCTGCCTCTGTCACCTACCACAGTGAAGACAACCCCACACCTGAGTGCAGCGTCCCAGCCTTTCCCAACTCCGCCCATTCCCACCTCACCAGAGCCCTCCCGGCTCTCTGATATTGTGTAAAATGTATTCTCGGCTGGGAGGGGAGGCTGGGAGAGATGTGTTGCTCATGGCTCATCAAAGCCTTTCCACCCACAAGTACATCTTCTGCATTTATGGAAAGCTCTGCTTTTCAGTCCCTTTCCCAGTCACTTCCACATTAATTAGTAAGGGTATCATTTTATAAATTACAGCTTCGTATCAGAGGAAAGCAGAGTTTATCTTAATTCAGTCAGCTGTGTGAAATGCAGTACCCTAATTTTAGACCGCCAGCTCTGCAGATCCCCGCGGAGTAAGAGAATGACAGGTCTTCCAGAGAGAAGTCCCAGTGGGTGCCCTACAAGTCTCACTTCTGCCTCCAACAGCATCCCTGGTGGGGCTGCTGACGGGATCCCAGGACACTGAGTGGCATCTTTTCCACCATTAGCAATTCAGATTTGAATGGGAATCCTCCAAGGGGCACATGAAAGCAGCCCGGTTAGCTGTGGGGCTCCGAGAGGGCCCAGGCAGGAGGCTCTGGCACAGAGGAGGCTGACAGGGCCCAGGCTCTGGCACAGAGCACAGGTCTGGGGGGATGGTATTAAAGCCAGTGATAAACACTGGGCAATCCCAGTCCAAAAGGGGAGCCTGATAGTCTTAACCATAACAGGGTGAGCAGGCATGGCTGCAGTTTAAGAGTCCCAATTGCTCCTGTCAGGAGCCCTGGGAGGAATGCCCCGGGGAGGGGAGCAGCAACAGGTGAAGTGAGTGTGGTTGTAGAGCAGCCCCCAGGTAAGAAGAGACCTGCAGGGCCACCACAGTCCACAGGAAAGACGACAGGAGCGGGGTGGGGGGCAACAGAGGCAGAAGTGCGCACAGGAGGGAGGATCAGTCCGAACGCCCGCCCCTCCCCTGCCATCTCCCCACTCCCACGGACGTGCCTATATACATCTCCTTATTCTCCTGCATTGCCCTTAATCGTCCTGAACTGAGTGGTGGGCACCGGCTACTTCCCACCGCCCACAGTCTGGTCTCATAGACTGAAGCCCGAACAGCAATGACTTGGGAATCTGGTCCCCGGAAGGATTAGTTTGCAGTAGGTGGAAACACCCGGATCCCTCTGAAAGCCAGGGGCAGCCTTGGTAATTGCCCAAATGACCCGTTAGCTGATTGTCTTGAGGCGTGGTGCTGAAATCTGGAGGACTCTGAGGTCGGGCCTGGACAGGCCCAGGCGTGGGGATTTTCACAGCTTCCCCGTGATTGGGTGTGCCGCCAGGTTGAGACTGCCTATGAAGACATGCACACGGAATGCAAAACCAGACATCCTCAACACCTCTACCACTGCTGGTAGGTGATGCTTCCGTAATTCACAGCGCCTTCCAAGGGGCTGTGAGAACCCGAGCAGGCTCATCCCCTTGGAGAAGTGCCACCACCTTGGACAGAGAGGCCCACCATCACTGCGGAAGAGCCGCTGGAATGGCAGCAGGTGCTTGTCCTGCCTGCTGCCTGTGGTGACACCTGCCACATGGGATGTGGCCCGACGGCTCCAAGGGTTGGTGGGCACGCCTTGAACACTGCCCTCCATGCTGCCCATGCGCCTCTGGCACCCACTACACACTGGCGCCCGAGACACCAAGAGACTGGCTTCGAAGCAGCTCGTACTCTGGGGGCTGGAGTAAGGAAGCTCCTAGCTGTCAGTTAAACAAAAGACTAGTCCACAGCCCCCTTTGCAGCGTGTACTTTCGCTGTCATCCAACAGCCCATTACCATGTCACAGCACCGCACACCCTTCCATAGGTCACTTTGTTTAAAATGACACGGATAATGCACATGTCAGCAAGCTGACAGTCCTGGCCGTCCTTCAGAGATAAAAACCTCAGGGCGAGAGCCTGTTCTTATCTGGGGACACGCATTGGTCTATCATCCAAGTCAGGCAGAACATGATTTCTCCAGAGAGCACTTTTTTCATTTCCTGATTTTAAGGAAATCAAATAAGCACCATTTGTCTTCATCTGAATATGCTTGACCTGCTCAAATGATGATGTCTCGCATTTTATAACAGGCTACATATGCTGAATTCAAATTAACAACAGCACAGAACAAGAGCCTTCACATCTCTCTCGGAGGCTGGCAGCAGAGGAGGAGGGCGAGTCTGGGCTGATGGAAAGATCCCAGTAAACGCTAACTGCAGATGCTGAATAAAACCAGCAAGCAGGTAGGAGGAGATGGAAAATGGGGCTCAGGGACGCCGGCTCCGCAGGACAGATCCAGAAACTGGGGAAGGGAAGGGAGGACCAGCAGTTCCTTTGGTTGCCAAGTAATAGATAAACCATAATATTCAGGTAACTTGTGGAAATACATAAAGTAGGAATAAAACTGGAAAGAAGTTGGGTTGGGGGATTTGAATACCTAGGAAGAAAGACCAAACCGACAAACCATCCCTTTGCTTCAGCAGCAGGACGTTCACATTACCAGGCCGTGGTCCAGTCTTCTGAGAGCTCAACCCAGAGCTCCTGTTCCTCACCCATGCGGAACCGGATACACCGAGGCTGGTGGTCATCAGCCTCGAAACAGAGCTCACCTGCTGGGAGAACTGCCCTCCCACCTGGCCATCCACCTGATGGGAGAGAGCAGCTCCCCTCTGACCGCCTCTGCTCACCCCTCGCCCCAGGATGACATTCCTAGAAACATTACCATTGACATCTCCATTGAGAAGGCCCATATGCACAGAAAAGCAGGAAGAAGCATATGGGCCAGTAAGATAAATGGAAACATGACATTATAAATACATACTAGCACATTTAATGTTCCCATCAAGGAATAAAAAAGAAAAATCAGATGGCTATTAAAATAAATCATTTCCTCTTTTGAAATCTTTTATAATGTGAAAACTTAGTGTCACATATGTGCACTATTAAGGGGCTTATTTTAAAAAAGTGGACCTCACAAATTAGTTGTTATTTCTTATCAAAGAAAACATCACTATGTGAATAAAACCTGACTTTACAGAAGAGAAAGGCACTGCCCCCATGAAGCTGGTACGCCCCCCACCCCCGGCAGCATGTGTGGAAGAACCATGGTGTTCAGTGTCTATGTACTGTGCCCACAATTGGGGGCGGGGAGTCTTACCTTCCGCTGCCCCCATGAAGCTGGTACGCCCCCCCACCCCCTGCAGCATGTGTGGAAGAACCATGGTGTTCAGTGGCTATGTACTATGCCCACAATTGGGGGCGGGGAGTCTTACCTTCTCTTCTTGGTCACTGTCGCTGTCACACTGAAAAAGAAAACAAGAGAATGAGGGTTAGTGCAAAAATGGAGTAGGTTTTTGTCTTTAATACAGAAAACAAAAGCAAGACCAACGAAGGAAAAAGGAACATGGTCGGAGCTGGGTGGAGATTCTTCGGCCCCAGTGCTGGTAAATGGGTAAGAAGCAGGATGCTGGTCAGCTGCCCGCTGTGTCCTCTGTGCCTGTGCTCTGTGGTCTCCTGTGGGCAGTCTGGTGTATGCTCATCACCCCAGTAAGCCCTCCCCTGCTGCATGGCAGAGGGGATGCCCAGCGGGAACCAAGCCGGCCACAGGGTTAAGGTGAATCAAGATCATTTGATGGGATTGAGAGCAAAATCAATTCTTTAATGTAGACCTTCTACCTTCTATTGTCAATGGCTCTCTCACCCCTGGTGCGTTTCTAGAAGAAAAGAGGTAAACCGCTGGGCACTGCATTCTCTCATTTGGACTGGAAAGGAATAGAGCATAATGGGTGAGGCTCACCACTGGGAGGCTGCCTTTTCCAGAGAACAGAGGGAAGGTTCTCCATAAAATAAGTGCCAAGGATAGAGGTCAGGGTACCAAATCAACAGTATGGGCCAAAAAAAAAGTTTTAGGACAGCAGACTCACTTGCACCATGTCTAACAGATCCCACGTGCCAACTGTTGAGCTGGGTTTGGGATAACCAGGAATGATAATTAACGCAAAGGGAATAAAGAATACAATTTTTTTTAAAAAAAACCAAGAATGTTCTGTTATCCAATATCTTCTTTTTTTTTTTTAAGGGACATGTTTTGTTAAAGTAAATGCACAGCAGATCAACAGTTCATTCACCCAAATGCCTTTGAGAAGCACGGCGGACGTTTAAAGAAGACCCAGAGCTGTCTGTCCCTAAGGCAGCTTTCAGTTTAGCTGTGCAGTCATGCACCGTGGAGTGACCAGGATATGTCCTGAGAAATATGCTGTGTAGTGATGTCATTGTTGTATGAACATCACAGAGTGCGCTTACAGAAACCTGAATGATAGAGCTTACTTCACACCGAGGCTACAGATTCTAGCCTACTGTTCCCGGGCTACTGGCCTACACAGAATGCTTCTGTACAAAACAACACGAGGTTAAGTCAAGCACAGGAGAGAAGGAGGCACTCAAGAGAGGCAGGAAACATGAGCTGTATGAGGCTGTGGCTGGGATAACACCGCATACTGTTTTTCAGCAAACTTTTTTTTATAAGAGAAAGAATACACTCTGAAATAATAATGAACAAGAGAGGAAATACATCAACCCATAACACAGTCATAATTATTGTCAAGCATTATGTACTGCACAGAATTACACTTCCATAGGACTGGCAGTGCAGTAGGCTTGTTCGCATAAGCATCGCCACAAAGACACCAGTAACGAGTGGCACCACGATGTTACAACAGCTGCAACGTCCCTCGGTGATAAAAAATTTTTGAGCCCCACTACAATCTTGGGGGACCACCGTCATACATAGTGGTTGACTGAAACACTGTTGTGGTGCATGACTGCAGAAATAGAGTTAGAACACAGACTCTGAGCAGGGGGGTGCATGATCGGAGCTGTGTTCTATTAAGATGACGCTTCCCACGGTGGAGGACAGAGTGCACTGTGGGAGAAGCCGGGTCATGGGGACACCAGTTTGGCAGCCATCGCACTGTCTACACCAGCAGGGCACGTGGTTTGAGAAAGAGATGAACAGATGGTAGAGCAATTCTGAAGGTAGAACCAACAGGACTTGATAACTCATGGATATGGGAAGCAAGTCAGAGGGATGAGTTGAGGATGCTGCCAAGGATTTTTAGTGTGGCCACCTGGATGTGGGAGTTGATGCTGCTATGAACAGACACAGAAAATAAATGTGCTTATACAGCAGTCACTACTGGCTAGATACCCCCAGCCATTCACAATCCCTTCTCTTAGTCTGTACCTTCTCCTGACATTTGGAGAATGAAAAAGCCAGATATTCTCTCTTTTCCAACTTTCCTTGCAGCTGAGGGTGGCCATAGATACATTTTTGGCTGAGACTTGAGGAAATGTCTGCTGACGGTTCTGGAAACATTTTCTCACCTCAAAAGAGAAAGAAAAGCAGAAGCACTTGCCTCTTGCCTTTGAACATGACTGCCAGAGGAAGTGATGTCCGGATCTGGGGCAGCCATCTTGCAGTTATGAGGCAAAAGAGCCAAGTACAAAAACAAGATGATAGGGCCAAAGGAAGAAAAACCCTGGCACAATTGAGCCACCTGAACCACCCTCAGAGTGGCCCACCTCTGGACTTGTTTGTTCAGGTAACAGTTATAGTATTGAAACCACAATTGAAAATAACCCTCACCCCATCCAAAGGGACATGTTGGTATTATAAGACACACTGTGGAGACTGCTTCCTCTTCCCAGCCTCAGCTGTCTATACTACCAGCACTTAGGGGTTCACATCACAGCCGTGCGGACTGGAGGGCTGTCACATTTTCTTTTCCACTGGCCCCTCGCTGCCATAGGCTTACCCGAGTTCTAGTGACAGCACTATAACCAAGTACATCTGGATCATTTTCAACCAAGCTTTCAACCTCAGATGGTCTAAGCTTACTCTCTTTTGCCTGATGAGTGGATTTCTCTATTGTAAAAAGTCAAATGAGCTGAGAAAGGAAATGGTGACATGGCGACTTTGAAGGCCTAGAACAGTGTTTCTTAACCTTCCTAATGCCGCAACCGTTTAATATAGCTCCTCATGTTGTGGTGACCCCCAACCATAAAATTATTTTCGTTGCTACTTCATAACTGTAATTTTGCTATAGTTTTGAATCATAATGTAAATATCTGATATGCAGGATGTATTTTCATTGTTACAAACTGAACATAATTAAAGCATAGTGATTAATCACAGAAACAGTATGTAATTATATATGTGTTTTCCGGTGGTCTTAGGCGACCCCTGTGAAAGGGTCGTTTGACCCCCAAAGGGGTCGCGACCCACAGGTTGAGAACCGCTGGCCTAGAACAACAGACAGATGAGGAACAATTCTCCTGATTGTGTGCTTTCCCCATGGCTTTTAATTAAGCCTTCCTTGAGGTTCCCAAGTTCTGGGCACATTTTCAAGGGTGACAAAGCATGGTTTTGGGGGGAGGGAGAGGGAAGATGGAAGAGGGAGAAGGATTTGGCCAGGCAGGCTCATTTTCCCAGCTGTTCACAGCCACCTTGTGAGGTAAGCAATGACCGCTGACGGCTGGAGCACAGAGGGAGTGGTGAGGTCGGGAAAGACCCTCCAGTGTCCACACCGCCCCCCATCCTAACAGCAGTGTGTCCCTGGGAATGGGTACTTCTATCAAAGTGTTAAGCTTCCTGCTTTCCAACGGTCCAGTTCTAATTTCAAGGTCCACTTAATTCCGCATCAAGTAATTACTGATATACCCAGAAGCACCTTGTCTCCAGAGCTAAGCATATGGTGGGGAGCTGAGACCTACTGGTATCCATTATGGAAGCAGCACGGATGCCAAGCCGATTAAAAACGCTCAGGCTCCCCACGCAACACGCGGGTGAGTGACAGCTCCTCGACAAGGCCAGTCGCAGAGTCTGCCAAAACAGTCTCTGCTGCGCGGGGGCCCACATGGTGCGCTGAGAAAACAGTTCCATTTCTGGTATTAAATTCCCACACTGACCCGAGGACTTTGCCGTGAGCTCAGCAGGAGCGCGCCATCCAATTTACAGCCTCGCTCTCTGGAGCCTCGAGTGCCAGCCCCTGGCAGAGACGAATGATGGTCAACCCCTCCAGCTCATAAATTATGCAAAAGCAATAAATGCACTCAGCAAACAGCGCCTAACGTTTGCCTAGCCTGGCTCCTAACACACTCTGTAAAAAGCCAGAAGCTCGGCACATACAAGAGGTCTATTCCACTCATAAAGGGGGTTTGTTGACAACTCCAGACGGAAAGCCAACCATGGGCCTAAGGAGTCTTTCTGCTTCGCTGGCAGCGGTTTATGGGCCTGCTTTATGAAAAAGGGAGGCTGTTTTATAGAGTCAGTGTGGGGAGAATTCATGGTCTCAAATTCACATTTAATACACTGTGCAGCTTTCATACCCTAAGTTCCATACTTGGTGGATTTTCGGCCAAATGATTCTTGGTCTTGAAAGATTAAAAGAAGAAGTGTCTGCTCCCCGATCCCTAGGTACCCACTCCAATTTATCAGCGTTCACACCGAGCCACCTCCTCATTCAGGTGTATGTTCTGCATGAGGCTGGGAAATGGAAAAGGCATGTCAAATGCAGAAACGGGGTCCCAGCTGGTTTGGCCAGTCTAAGCATTTTGACATCGAGGTCCTGCACTGGTTTATTAGCAAACAGGTTGCACACTAACGACCAGCTCGAGGTGACAGCGGACTCTCCATGACTAGATTTCAAAGCCCTTTGTGCAAAGCTGAAAGTATTTTCCTGCATTTTAAAAGCAAGCAGTGAAAAGGAACAACCAGCCCTTATACTAACCCACCCGGGGAAGAATTCTTGGTCACTCAGTCTTCAGACAAAGATACCACCCAAACCCACCACAGACAAAAGAGGGAAACGAGGTATGGGATCCAAACCACGTGCCTCAAATGCAGAATTGGAAAGGGACTAGTTCCTCACCTGACTGCACGCAGCCATTCCAACACATCACCATGCACTTCATCATCCCCTTCCTCCTGCCAGCTTCACAAATTAGACCTGAACCTTCGGAGGCACCTCCTTCCTCTCCCAGACATGTCACATCCCCCTTAAACTCTTCAATCAACCAATAAACCAACTAACCCACCCACCTACCTAGTAGTTTTTCCTTTAAAAAATTAATGCATATTTATTGACTACATTTTAAGAAGTCACCCACCAATGTGCCACCCATAGACACTGTCAACATATTTGTACAATTCTTTCCAGTCTTCTCCATCCTTTCCCTTCTTCACGCACACATATTTTAGGAAATGGAATCCTAATATTTTGTAACCTGTTTTGTTTTTGCATAA